CTGAGGAGTGGGACCAGCAAAAATTAAGCTCCAGGAAATACAGCCCTGTGGCTGCCTGGACTCGGAGGGATCAGGACCGTGGGGGACCTTGAAACCACCAGTTAGCCCTAGCTGGGCTGGAATAACTCATCATTAAAGTCCAAGAATGCCCCAACACCCAGCTCCTGGGGCAGGGACATCCTGGGGCCTAGGGAGGTGGGGTTGTCAGGGCCAACCATTCCTCAGCCATTTTGCCCCTCGCTTGGCCTCAGTATCCCCATCTTTGTAATGGAGTCAAAGTGGGGCCTCCAACACAAGGGCTGGGAGAGACAAAAGCCCAGACCTGGGTGGTCGAGGCCTTTGTCTCTTCCATCCTGCCTGTCCAGGCTGGCAGGCTACATTCCTACACTGATTTATGGCATCCAGGGAGGCCCATATTTTCCCTTGCCTGAAAGGTGTGGGCCCTGCAGGTGAACCTTCCATGGGCGTGCTCATGCCAGGCCTCTTCTGTCCATTCCCTGCCCACATGACACCCCTATGTGTGTCCCCTCCCCACTCTCCTCCTCCCTGGCTGGGAGTGTGAATTCCCACATGTCTGGTTCCCTATCTGTGTGCTCTGTAGGACATCAGGAATTTTGTCTATTTTCTTGCCAGTATCTAGAAGGTAGCTGAATATACAGCAGTTGTGTGATAAATGCTAGTTAAGTGAACCCTGATTTCTCAGCTGCAAGGTGGACCTAGCCAGGCAGAGAGTGAGGTCAGAAAGACTTGGGGAATTGGCAGGTGCCCCCAAGTGTCACATCTACTCAGAACCTCAGGAGGGGACCTTATTTTAAAATAGGGCTTTTGCAGATGTCATTAGCTAAGATGAGATCACAATGGAGTAGATGGCTCTAATGCAATGACAGTGTCCTTATAAGAAGAGGAAGGACACAGACACAGAGAAGCCATGTGGGGACAGAGGCAGAGACTAGGAAGATGCAGCCACAAACCCAGGAACACGGGAGCCCCCAGAAGCTGGAAGAAGCAGGAAGGAGGACCCTCCCCAGAACCTCTAGGAAGCATGGCCCTGTGACACCTTGATTTCAGACTTCTGGCTCCAGAATGTGAGAGGACAAATTGTTGTTTTAAGCTGCCCAGTGTGTGGTCATTTGTCACGGTGTGGAAACTCATTCAGGGGCAGTATGTTCTCCTCTGAGATCCTGACCCAGGTGGAGGAGGGTCCACACTGCCTAAACCCCTTCCCCACGCCCAGGCCCCACAAGACCTCAGTGTTCCTCCTGCCTCAGCTTCCCCATCTTTTGAGGACATTGTGCAATAAATACAACAGTATCACCCTTAGCACTTGGAACCATCACGACCCCCCTATTCCAGGTGGGAAACTGAGGTTCAGGGTGGAGACCAGCTGCTCCATAACTCCTTGACAGAGGTGGCTGGCTCAGTGGGGGTGGAGTGGCTGTTAACCCCTAGGCCAAATGGTGGGCAGACCCTCATGGGGCCAGGGCATAGTATGAGGCCATAAAGGGGATGTGTGGTGAATGAGGCAGCTTTAATAGCCGTGTCATGGGCAGCTGACAACAAAGCCGGGCAATAAAGGCTGCCCTAGCTTTATGGGGCTCTGGCCCCAAGTTCCGCACCCCTGTGGCGTGTGTCCCACTCTAGCCAGCTGGATGGGGCTGTCCACCAGGCCACAGGAATGGAGGAGCTCGGGATGGTGTCAAGACCCCCCTTGTGGGCCACTAGGCCAGGATGTCTGTCCTCACAAGGCTCTCAAGTCACACAGCTGGGCTACAACACATCCTTTGTCACACTCCAGTCTTGGTCCCACCTGGATTCTCTGGCTGGAACCCTGCTCCTCTCAAAGTG